TCAGTCATGTCTGACTCCTTTGCAACCCCATGGACTGTAGCCCAGCAGGCTCCTCTGTCCATGGGATTTTCCAGGCAAGAATACTGGAGTGGGTTGCCATTTCCTCCTCCAGGGGATCTTCCCAACCCAGGGACTGAACCGCATTGGCAGGTGGATTCTTTACCACGGTGTCACCTGGGAAGCTCCTGACACAAGGTTATGTTGTTATTAAATACTGGGCCCCAAACCTGCCATACCAGATCCCTAGTCTCTAGGGGGTGGTTCCGCATTCCAGCCCTCGGGGCTGTGGACCATGTCTGACTAGTCCCAGACTAAATGGCTCCTTGGGACAGGACCAGGATTCAAGGCTGGCTCTCCTGTCTCCCAGGGTAATGTTCCTATTACCTGTTCAGAACTCTGCCTGTGTGGAAACACCCAAAGGGAAAGCATTTACACAGGCAGGCCTGCAAGAGATGGTGCAACCAGCTGTGGGTCTTTGGGCCCTGGATTTCTGAGTTACAGAAAACACAGCAAGCTTCTGTCTGGATCAGTAGCCACCAACTTGACCCAACCCTCCCCTGCCCCAAGATTTACCAAGTTTTAAGATGTACCCCTTGAGTCTCTAAGTAAAGAGATGCGAAATAAACAAGTGGACAGATGTATGTAAGAGAAATGATTTAACTTTATAAAAATGTGATCATACAGCAAGATTTGATTTTTTTTTTCTTCTCCTTTTTCTTCTGGCAAATGAAGTTTATAAAAACACCTGGAATAAAAATTAGGACCATAACCTAATAAAAATTAAAAACCTTACATTTCAAGGAAACAAGAGTCGTTTCAGAAAGACAATGAAGAGAAAACAGCAGCCAAAGTGGCAGCGGCTCGGGGAGAGGGGAGAAGGCAGGTTCCGTGGTGATGCGGAAACAGCGACCGACTCACGCGAGCCTGACCTTTGGCACCAGGGTGGGCTCAGGAGTGGGGGCAAGGGGGGCAGTGATGGTGAGAGAGGCAGGTGGGTTTCTGGAAAGGGACAGACCAATGGCTCGGCGGGCAGCAGTGGCCTCCTGCAAACAGGCCCACGATCCCCTCCTCTTCCCGGACCTGCAAGCCACGGGGCGGTGACTCACAGAAAAATCCCTATGAATCTGCCCCAGCGGGGAGCTCAATGCGGGGAAACTCGTCGGAATGTCAAGGTCAGCTAGGGCGACTTGCCACAGAGACCCAAGGAAACAAGACAGACAGGGCTACACACAAAACACTGTTTGGAAGGTCTGCACCAGAGCCAAGAGAGGCTGGAGACAACTTTGGAGAGATAGGCCGGGAACCCACCACAGCCACATCCCCCAGCCTCTCCTTCCAGGGAGCTGGTCCTGAGGCTGGCTACTCCCCAAGGAGATGGGGAATCCTTGACTACATTCTGAGGTAGTCTAATCGCCACTTGCACAGGCAGCTGAGAATGATCTCAACAAATAGGGGCAAGCAGGCAGAAAAGTTTCCGCGGAGAGAAAAGGCTAAGGGCATGGTTCTCAGGCCAGGGCAGCGGTGACACTGAGGTGCGGGGTGTACCTGCTACTGACTGGGGTCATGGTGATGATGAGCCAGAGAACCTGGGAGCCTCGGGGGGGGCGGGGGGTGGGTCCCAAGCTTTCCTGCGGCTATGACTCTGGTCATCTGAGCCTGTTTTAGGGAGAACCAGTCCTGCTGGACTCAAACTTGGCTAAGCACTTAAGAGGCCCCTTCTCTGAGGGAGCAGTGGACCCCAAACCGCCACAGAGAGAGAAATAATAAGGATGAAAAGCAAAGGTGATGTTAGACCCCTCATCCCACTTTCGCTGCTAATGTATATTATTTTCCTCTTCTGCCCCAGCACTTGGGATTCTAAGTCAGGATGGAACGTTCTGAAGGTTTAAGCAGCAGCAGCTATATGGATGTTAGTGCTTCTTCTGCTTTGCACATTTCCGAGGACGCCTTCTGGGACGAAGCTCACCAAAGTCTTCCACTTCATTTTCGTAAACATCTTCCTGAACGACACCTGTTTAAAAAGCAAAAAAAAAAAAAAGCAGAATGGTGATTTTTTTTTTCCATTTTACTGCAATATATAATAACATCCTAATAACATCTAATGTTGAAAAAGAAGAAGAAGAAAAAAAAAAAAGCTAGAGCTAAACACCCTTCTCCAGAACGTTCTTTCACAGGCTAGCTCCTCTCCCCTTCTTTTAGAGGCCCTTTAAATGAAAAATAAGTTCAACAAAAACGGAATTCAACCGCACCTTGAGATGGTATCCCAGTTATGTTCTTCTGTTTGAAGCAATCACAAAAAATCACAGTGCCATCAGAGACTAAAATCTAAAGATTATTGGCAGAGACATTTGTGTCAAGTCCTTCCCAGTTTTCCCCAGCTCCAGGGTTTGGATTTTCCAGTAGCATCTGGGTCATGAGGACTCACAGAAGGGCAATCTGGGACAAGTGAAACACTAGGAGGATGAAGAAGAAAGATACTACCAACAGGGGGAGGCTTTCCAGATCATATAGAATTCAGCAAGAAGATTCTGTCAGGAAAGAAACCCAGGCTCACTCTATACCAGCTTTAAATTCTCTGAAGGAAGATGTATGCAAGTTTCCCCAAAGATTTTGTTTGTTTAGTTCACAAAGTTGTCTTATATCCCCAAGCCCAGAACAGTGCTGATACATTCCAGACGTTCAATATATAAATACACTCACAGAATTACAAGAAGGACTTGCACAGGCAAACATTTATCAAGGGATACACTCTGCCCATCCTGGGAGTCACTGTACGGAGTACAAGAAGTAATATAGAGCCACTGGTAACAGCTCATGAGTGGCAAAGATTTGGGGAAAAGCAAGAAGCCAAGTAACAGCCCTCAAAGTCAGATGGGGGAGCCCCATCACTCTGCTGCTACTGATCAGAGTTGCTGGGGGCGGTGTTCCCAGACAGTGAGCGACCACTGCTCACAACGCAGGCGGCCGCACTGCAGACCGACCTGGGAGTCAGCAGAACCAAGGGCCACGAGACCCAGAGCGTCACCCTGGGACAAAGGACTCCTCACCTTCCTCCTGGTGCAGCTGTGTTTTCCTCAGCCACTCCTGTGCATCCCTGACGGACGGGATCAGCATGTTGACCAGCCGAGCCATGACCTCCTCCGCTAGAGAACCAAAGAACCAGGGCTTTGAGTGAAGGGGCGGCTGTAGGGATGAGGACGCTCAGTACTAAGAGTCAAAGCCCCCACCTCCCAGGATCTTGTCTCCGCTTCCTCTGAGAAGGGCAGTGAAAGGCTGCTGTCTGCCACCAGGAGCAGAAACTACATGTCCCTGTCTGGAGGGACTGCCAATCGCAAGCCTTTGGAGGAAGCTTTTCAAACTGTTCTTACCTTCAACTGGACTGTCTGAATTCTAGAATAATTTAAAAACATACAATTTCACTAATTTTATACATAACTCCCCTCTTCCCTTGTGTCTCAATGGTAAAGAATCCACCTTCCAATGCAGAAGATGCTGATGATCCCTGGGTTGGGAAGATCCCCTGGAGAAGGAAATGACACCTCACTCCAGTATCCTTGCCTGGGAAACCCTATGGACAGAGGAGCCTGGCTACAGTCCACAGGGTTGTAAAAGAGTCGGACACGACTTAGCAACTAAACAACAACATACATAACTTGTACTCAGTTTCGCTAAGATGGAGGTAATAAAGATGTCAGAGGATACCCGATTCACAGATCACGTAAGAATTCTTTTAAGAGGCTCTCACTGGGTGTGGTGTGAGGACCTAAAAGGGAAGGACCAGGTATGCAGGCTAGATTTTAGTCAAGTCAAAGTGTTAGTTGCTCAGTCGTTTCTGACTCTTTGCGACACTATGGACTGCAGCCCACCAGACTCCTCTGTCCATGGAATTCTCCAGGCAAGAATACTGGAGTGGGTACCTATTCCCTTCTCGAGGGTCTCTTCCCCACTCAGGGATCAAACCCAGGTCTCCTGCATTACAGGCAGATTCTTCACCGTCTGAGCTACTAGATCGGGTTCAGCCCATAGCAGGCGCTCAAGATATCCCTGAATAAATGAATCAAGGAAGGTTTAAAGAATTTTCTCAAGACTGGAGGCATTCTCCTTCTATCGTCTCCATAGCATTGGTTAGCAAACCCTTTTCTGTCATGCCAGAAAAGGCATCATGCCCTAGATGGTTTCTGTCAACCGTCATGCCCTAAGACTATGACACATTGTTTAACTGGGGGAGGGGTGATCCAAAGAATGGGGCTTTGGTGGGACTGGAGAACATGTGGTCTTCACTTGTGTCTCTGCTACTGCCAAGATTCCAGCATCCCCAGGTCAGACCTCACTACGAAGGGGCCCGACTTGGACCCAAGTCCTCAAAGCCCGGGTTCCGCCACCATCTGGGCCCGCCTCTCGAGGACCCTTACCATCAGCCCAGGCCTTCCGTCTGTACAGGTCC